GGGAAATCCCGTGACAACGTCAGCCGCGCGCCCAGCGCAGCGGAAGTGACAAGCGTGCAGTACTCAGCGCTTGATAACTCTGCTCCACTACATCGTAGCTCAAAGCGGATTTCTGCAATGGAAAGCCTGGAAAATTCTCGACCGAATCGATAGTAAATTTTCTATCGAGGGTAAAAAATCATTCCAGTGCGAGTATTTCAAATGATGGGTCGAATTCGACCCACAAATGTATGGTCTGACGGTTAAAGGGTTAAAAGGATTCTCCAAAAGCAAATGGATGCTTATCACGGAAGTCTCCCACATAAATATCGCAAGAAAAATGGGGAAATGGGGAGAGGAGAGTGAAAGATGAAGCATGGGAAGAAAGGAAACAAGTACATGTACCTAAATATCGAGGTATAAAAGCAGGAAAGAAATCGACGAGGGAAGAAATCACCTCTGCAGATAATAGCGGGACATTTAGATGAAAAAAACCCAGCAAGGATTAATTTCAAGGAAAAAAAATTTCTCAAACGGAAAAGTTCGGAATTCCAGTCAGAGAATATCTATGCTGAGAGTAATGAGCCTTTAGAGCAATGCGAAAATTGACAGAGGACTGAACGCAGCGGATGTGTTCTGGAAGTTTGTTCCATTCCACAGATAAACTGAAGAGAGGGGATTTAAGGAAATGGGCGCCAGAACGAGGTAAAACTATAGAGGACGGGTGACGACAACTAAGGGATACATTGAATTTGAAACGACTTAGCAAAGACGGAAACTGGTAAAAGACATGATGAAAATACAGCAAGGACAGAATCTGACGACGCCACTTCAGGGATGACCAGTCACAAGTACGATTAAGAATCTGCTTCGGGGTTTCCCACTCAGGAGGGTGCCGGGTCTTACAAAGCAGATATGAACGAGCAGCAACGGCTTGCAGTCGGTCTAACGTAAGCGAATCTGAATGGGATACGGCGAATGACCAGACAGGGACTGCGTATTCTAACAGTGGTCGTACGTAACACTTGTAGAGCAAATTCACGGTTGAAGCAGAAAGGAAATGGGCCATATGGCGCAACAGAAAAACACGACTGCGAAACTTATGGGTGATAGATTTTATATGGTCAGAAAAATTTAGTGAAGGAGTGATAGTCACGCCGAGATGACAGTGGCTATCACCTTTCTGAATAGGCACACCGTTCATTGTCAAGGGGGATGACGGGCCGGGGGCTAATGCATATTTTTGAAAGGGTAGGTGGACGCATTTACTGGTGTTAAACGTCATGGCAGTAGCTGATGACCATTGACAACACTTATCAATGTCAGTTGTTGTTGTTGTTGTTGTTGTTGTTGTTGTTGTTGTTGTTGTTGTTGTTGTTGTTGTTGTTGTTGTTGTTGTTGTTGTTGTTGTTGTTGTTGTTGTTGTTGTTGTTGTTGTTGTTGTTGTTGTTGTTGTTGTTGTTGTTGTTGTTGTTGTTGTTGTTGTTGTTGTTGTTGTTGTTGTTGTTGTTGTTGTTGTTGTTGTTGTTGTTGTTGTTGTTGTTGTTGTTGTTGTTGTTGTTGTTGTTGTTGTTGTTGTTGTTGTTGTTGTTGTTGTTGTTGTTGTTGTTGTTGTTGTTGTTGTTGTTGTTGTTGTTGTTGTTGTTGTTGTTGTTGTTGTTGTGGTTGTTGTTGTTGTTGTTGTTGTTGTTGTTGTTGTTGTTGTTGTTGTTGTTGTTGTTGTTGTTGTTGTTGTTGTTGTTGTTGTTGTTGTTGTTGTTGTTGTTGTTGTTGTTGTTGTTGTTGTTGTTGTTGTTGTTGTTGTTGTTGTTGTTGTTGTTGTTGTTGTTGTTGTTGTTGTTGTTGTTGTTGTTGTTGTTGTTGTTGTTGTTGTTGTTGTTGTTGTTGTTGTTGTTGTTGTTGTTGTTGTTGTTGTTGTTGTTGTTGTTGTTGTTGTTGTTGTTGTTGTTGTTGTTGTTGTTGTTGTTGTTGTTGTTGTTGTTGTTGTTGTTGTTGTTGTTGTTGTTGTTGTTGTTGTTGTTGTTGTTGTTGTTGTTGTTGTTGTTGTTCTCCTTAGTGTTGTTCTCGTTGTTGCTGTTGGTCTTGGTAATACTAATAGTCTTGTTCACGGACCTCATGAATTCCACAAATAAAACAGAGTTATATTTCTTGAATCAGCTTCAGGGTTACTTTTCCTTCAATTATGAATGATTTGTGGAATGTTGCAATTGGTAACATGGAAACATAAGTTCAGTGCAGCTTCCAGTATGTTGTTCAGGTGAGGTACACCGGTTTTTGGGATCAAATGTCGGAAGTCAGCATTGCTTACCTCGGCTGTTGCGCTGGACCGTCTTGGGTTCACTCGTAGTTAATTAATTGTGCGTCCCCCCAGGGGGTTTGGGCTCTCCGGTATTAATCCTTTGTTGAACGAGAAATTGTTTACTAATTAATTATTGATGAAGGGGTTAGTGTTGTATCACGTTCTTCGTGGCGTGGGCTGAGTCTTCTGTCAGGTGGACGGAGCTATAAAACACACAGACAGGACGGCGGCGGTTATTGTACGCAGATCTACGCGCGATCCCCGCGCACGACCTACGACACCACGCAAGATCGACGTCTCCAGAACACAACTCGCGAAGAGAACAAGAAGCCATCACGTCGTGTCCGACTACACTCCACATATCTTCCTCAGCCTACGTTCACCTTCGACGTCGACGACCATCTTACCAGCTCCTCGGACAACCTGGAGAGATCTCCCGGTAAGTCCAAAGTCAACACGTGTGTCTCTCTCAGAGACCCGCCAGTGAGACTTCTCTTCTCCTTCGATACACCAATAACCGCCGTCCTGTCTGTGTGTTTTATACATGTAGCTCCGTCCACCTGACAGAAGACTCAGCCCACGCCACGAAGAACGTGATACAACACTAACCCCTTCATCAATAATTAATTAGTAAACAATTTCTCGTTCAACAAAGGATTAATACCGGAGAGCCCAAACCCCCTGGGGGGACGCACAATTAATTAACTACGAGTGAACCCAAGACGGTCCAGCGCAACAGCCGAGGTAAGCAATGCTGACTTCCGACATTTGATCCCAAAAACCGGTGTACCTCACCTGAACAACATACTGGAAGCTGCACTGAACTTATGTTTCCATGTTACCAATTGCAACATTCCACAAATCATTCATAATTGAAGGAAAAGTAACCCTGAAGCTGATTCAAGAAATATAACTCTGTTTTATTTGTGGAATTCATGAGGTCCGTGAACAAGACTATTAGTATTACCAAGACCAACAGCAACAACGAGAACAACACTAAGGAGAACAACAACAACAACAACAACAACAACAACAACAACAACAACAACAACAACAACAACAACAACAACAACAACAACAACAACAACAACAACAACAACAACAACAACAACAACAACAACAACAACAACAACAACAACCACAACAACAACAACAACAACAACAACAACAACAACAACAACAACAACAACAACAACAACAACAACAACAACAACAACAACAACAACAACAACAACAACAACAACAACAACAACAACAACAACAACAACAACAACAACAACAACAACAACAACAACAACAACAACAACAACAACAACAACAACAACAACAACAACAACAACAACAACAACAACAACAACAACAACAACAACAACAACAACAACAACAACAACAACAACAACAACAACAACAACAACAACAACAACAACAACAACAACAACAACAACAACAACAACAACAACAACAACAACAACAACAACAACAACAACAACAACAACAACAACAACAACAACAACAACAACAACAACAACAACAACAACAACAACAACAACAACAACAACAACAACAACAACAACAACAACAACAACAACAACAACAACAACAACAGCAACAACAACAACAATCAACGACAATTACAACGACAACAACTATTACAACAACATCAACGTCCATCAACACCCAGACCACAACACCAACGTGCAGACGGGGTGTTCCGACGTGGTGAAGGCCTACCCATGGCCTCGTCGGGACATCACCAACCTCGTCGGCAGCGAGCACCTTCTCACAACAGTCGTCATGGTGATGACTATGACTGTTACAGCTGACGAGCTGAGAGAAGGACGCCATGGGCAGAAGTTGGAAAAAGACAAGAAAAAAGAAAAAGAACAAAAGAACAAAAGAAAAAAGAAATATAAATTACAAAATTATTTAATTACAGAGGAAGACAAGAAAATAACATCACAAATCCTTCCAGACGTGATCCCTGCAGCGGCAGCAACGTGAACAATACTACGGCGGCAACACGACGACTTCTACAACACAAAAAACGAAAATTATAAAAATCCTACCAACCCGTAGAGTAACGAGGGTCCGAACCTGGGTTTTCCCAATACGGTTCAAATGGTCGCAAGACCGGGACTCTGCCAACCGGTTTATGGTTGTAGTCAGGAGCACTACGCGTCCTCGCCTTGTAACATGCTGTCAAAATCGAAAAACACGGTATTGTACTACTACTCCCTGGTGTACTCAGCAAGGAAAAGAAGAAGAAGAAGAAAAAAGTAAAGTACAAATTGCAGTTACCGGTAGCCGGATTCGCAGCCGCATCACCTGATCTGAGAGCTCGTAGGAATGAATACGTCAAGCAAATATAGCAAGAAAAAAGAAACTGCGCGCAAAAAGTCTGGAGGTTGCGGGATTTGAACCCGCGGCCTCTCACATGCGAAGCGAGCGCTCTACCACTGAGCTAAACCCCCACAGCTGACTTATGGGACGTACATGCTCCTTCAGAACACTTCGCTCGCCGCTCCTTGCCGTATCTAATGGCGTAGGCCTGCGTGCGTGTGCACTCATGCCATTGTCATAGTGATGCAGCACGCGACTCGTACTCGATCGAATCGATTGACTTCATTTTCATGCGCACTCACTGGCTGTGATCGCGGCTTGTTTTGTTTGAAATCAAGATCATGATCGTATTTGTAGATCATCAGTGCAGTGCAATCCCATACTATTGTCAATCATTTCCCTCACAGCATTTATCTTTTGGTGAACTCTCTGAACTACTGCTGGGCTTCTTGATCAAGTATCAGACTTTTGGAATGTCGGCGGACAAGCCATGCGTTTTCTTCAGAAAAAAGAAGAGACCAACTGTCCGCCAGCGAGATGAAGAAGAAGAAGAAAAAGGTGCGAACTATTTCCTACAAATTTGAAATAATAATATTTTTATTATAAAGATTCCTGCTATGAGGACCCAGAAACTGGATTTGAATGCAATCGGCTGACCTAATATTGAGCCTAATAGTAAGAGCCGTGATATTTTTTGTAGTAGCCAAGCTCCTGTCCCTCGTAGAATAATAACAGTGTAAACATTATCAGAAGCCTCTGCATATTCGTGGGTAGTAGGATTGAGGTCGAAGAAATCTGACCGCCTTCATAACGCGTCTGTGCATGTGTCGCATCCAGGACCACGTGCAGCATCAGGCTTCGTGCATGTCTTCCGGGGATATCTAGCACCCAGGGAGACGACATTAGGGAGGTTTCGCTCTACGTAATTACGTATGAAAATCCGTATGTCGTACACGCCGGGGAGCGAGGGCAACTTTCATACGTAAATCTCTCTGCGGATTTCCGTAGGAAAGCTGTTTCCTACGTTGGAGCCTCCGTAGGGCTTTTTGAAATATTTTTCGCATTTTCCGGATTTATCCATGGCAAAGTTCAAGCCGCGCGAAACACAAGGTACACACACCGTACACCACGTGCAAAATATGATGGAAAACGCGGTTTCGGTTCGTGGTGCATGCGGTGGGCGCATTCAGCCAACGCGTCTCCAAAGCAACAAGGCATGTCTAGCAGTCGTGGAGAAATCACGTAGAGCGAAACCCAACAGCGCTGACCTTTACGTATGAAAAATTACGTGCAGTTCCTACGTTATTTTCATGCGTAATTCCGTAGAGCGAAACCTCCCTATTAGATCATAATGTAGTACCAGAAACAATATGCGTTTCGACCCTGAATCTGGAAGTTCCACGTGATCTGCGGCTCGCTGACCTCAAATGCGTACAGACCAGCAATGCCCTATGCAAGCGTGCGTAAATCGGCCCTGCCCCAAGGGTAACTGGAACGGACAACCAGGGAGCGAAACTTACATCATTTCTCATCCAGTCACCGGTGTTGCCCTGGACCTGGATGCTACAACTCACTGATCTCCATCTACAGCATGCTCCGACTGGCAGCATTAATTCAACTGGCTGTGCAGTACGGGGGGGGGGGGGGGGGGGGGCTAGGCTGGGCTGGGCTGTTGAATGGCCTTGGTCGCAGCTGTAGAACATCAAATACACTCTATAATGCACCAGTATGCGTGATGCATACCACAATAGCGCAGGCTGGGCCGATTGTACCCGCAAAGCGCGGTCATGCACAACCCCCGTATGCACACCTACAAATACCATGCCACCTCAGAAATTCAAACTTTTAGGTCAGTTCAGAACGTGGTCATTGAGGTTCCACTGAACTTAGAGGCAGCATGTAGCATTCCTAATTTTGATTCATCTCTGACATTCCGTACTCTGTTGCGTTCTATCGTTTTGTTCTGTTGTGTTAGATGCTAGCAGTGATGATGATACACATGTGGTGCGTAAGAAGAGAAAGGGACCTGAAGGCCCTCTAGTACAATCGGTAAGTTGTTCAAACTACTAATTGAAGTGTGTACACCGTAAAGTCTTGTATAAAGGCCGCGGCTTCTATGACTTTCTTGGTGAAATTTTGCAGGCTTCTATATGAGACAGGCTTCTATACAAGACAGGTATTTCTATGTATGTCAACACTAAAATCAGGCTTATGTGTGATTTGATGGGCCCAAAATTGCGGCTTCTATTCGAGGGCGGCTTCTATTTCAAGTGCGGCTTTTATACAAGACTTTACGGTAGTTTTATTTGAATATGTGTTGACTTCTTCTTAAAGGGGAAGTCCGGTGAAAAATTTAAATTTCAGGGTCGGTAGAGTTTCGGCCGCTGAGTCGAATGGTGTTGTCCCACGTGTCTCCAACAAAGCGTTCTCGAGATATTTCCGTTTGAAAAACTGAGTTTCGGGGGCTGCGCCGTGACGTCATGCGGCCGCGCCACACCCTCCGCAACGTCATAGCGTGCAGCTAGGTCAAAAGGAGTGCGTGAAAGCAATAGTGTCAGTGCTATTTCAAATGATTTGGCAACCCATAGTAGGTGGTGCAAGCGACTCCGAAGACGTAACTCCTTGTGAGAGTGAGGATGCAGCCATGGCTGACCTTCATGAGTTCGGTCTGGGGCTGTGAACCTCGGTATTCAGCTGAAGAAATGGCCGCGCGGGCCGGTCAAGAGTGAGCGCTACTGAGTGTCCGACTGATGAAGAAACAGCAGCTATTGCAGACGAGGTTGATACAATTATCAGATCGCTGGAGAGCAGAGTCGCCAAAATGGAGAAGAGTGATGCGAGTGCTCTAAATGTTGTTCCATACCGATTCACTTAGACTCCAGTAGCCTGCCACATGGTGATGTTTTGGTGCGAACTTGACATATTTCGGACTACTCAATTGGAGAACAGTGCAGGCTCTTTGAACCACGGGCACGACTCTTCGCTCGCAACGCTACGGGACCTGAAAGTTCTACATGTAGGTCCGGGAGCTGTTCGCTGTTTTGTCACTTGTCACGGTTGTGCACTCATCGCTGTAGCATAAAATAATGAGGCGGGAGCGGAAAACTAAATTTTTCTTTCTCAAACTCAAAGCACAACCGCGGCACCGGCAAGGAGAAACGCTCGTTCTCTGACTACATGACTGTTCAATGCGACTGATACGAGTGTAGTACATGACAAGTCCGTGTGTTGACTAGTTTTCTGAGTCTTGTGACTCGAGTCTTGTTGTACCTACCCCAGCACGGCAGTGCGGGAGTAGTTCCGTGTGTGATGAGTGGGTGCTAGCATGCACGCAGCGCATTTGTAGAGCCGTAGAGGCCAGTGCATGCCGACGTCGGAAAAAGTCCAACTCGGAAACGGCTAAAAATACAGTATAACCTCGAGGTTTACCGAGCTGAAAATCACAGGGTACCTAGTGTTTGTAACACTGAATCGAATGGTCTTGGTCCGAAGAAGCTGCGACAAACAGTTTCCCAATCGAACGCGCTCCGAATTTGGCCATTTTGTACACATCTAGATGTTGTGGCTACCTGGCTGCACGCTGTGACGTCATCACCTGGATCTGGGTGAGGCGCGCTCAAATTCGCACATGTTCGATTGGGCGTATCTGACGAACCATAGGCCGCAGCCTCCTCAGACAAAGACCATTCGACTCAGCGCCCCGAACTCTACGGACTGTGAAATTTAAATTTTTCACCGGACTTCCCCTTTAAAACAGCACCCACTACCTACCATACTTCGTGGTGCATTCCAGCCGAAATGATGCAGTTTGCACCTTAAATTGGTGTTTTGATGGATCTGAAGTAATTATGACCGATGATATTGTCATCGGTAAATGCCACCGTCAGTGTTTCCGACAAGGCAATGGACTGCCCAGCCGCCAATTCCCCCCCCCCCCTTTTTCTTAGTAGCATCGGTTGTCAAATTAGTAGGGCTGAAACGAAATGCTCAGTGAAGCGAACGAATATTCTTTTTCTGAATACACGTGAAACGAAGAATATTCCGAATATTCTAAACCATACAATATCCACGGAGCCCTACTTGCATCCATGATAACCATAGACCATCAACTGGTTGCGACCCCAACTGCAAGAGAGATATTTGAAAAGGACCTTGTTACTATTTGGCTTGATGATGATAACACATGGAAGGAGGCAAGCCTGCTCATATTCTGCACCAAGCCTATTTGATATCAAAAAGGCGAGATAATGTACATTAATGGTACGAATATTCTTTTTCCGGTCAGCCCTGCAAATGAGCCCCAGCATTATGCTTACCTGAGACAGAAGGCTTGTTTGTTTGTTTGTTTGTTTGTATTCTTTATTTAAGGTATTATTTAAGGTATTAAGGTATTTTCTAAAAAGAAAAAAAGACACCAGTAAGAAGTACCATGGTGGTGTCCAGTGCTGTCAATCTGATCATAAATTGGTTACCGTTAAAAGAAGAACATCATCAGACTCTAGTGTCTTCTCAGGTTACGTTTGGTTGGTCACATTCCCAAATGGGAATCACTTGGAATCACTCGGAATCATTCTCGCCCGTTTGGTTGGTCAAAAAAGTGCGTTAGGTTGGTCCCATTCCAGCATGGGAATCACTTGGAATCGCTCAGAATGATTCCTTTTGGGGAATGCTCATTCCACGTCACAGGCTGGAATGAGCATTCTCATTCCGCGATCGAATCAGATAATGGCCGGCACGGGCGAAGTTTTCTCCTGGTCGGAGAAGTTGACAAAGGACTTTCTGGAGATTTATTCCCAGTATCAGGAGAAGTTCTCGAACGTAAATTTCAAGAGTTTCTTTCTGTGGCAGGAAATTGCCAGACTGCTCCGAGAGAGTGATGCAGATCGAAATGTTTGGCCGAGTGATAAGCAGTGCAACAATCGATTCAAGTCACTGAAATCGAGTTCGCAGAAGTACCTCGACTCGTTGAAGGAGACCGGAGCTGGCAAGAAGAGGAGGTAGCCGCCATTCCATAAAGAGATCATGGATTTGATCGGCAGCAGAAGCAGCGTTGTGCCCCCTTCAATTGCCAGCTCCGGGAGCATCGTTTCGTCGATTGCCTCCTCACAACCGATTTCACCTCCACCCGCTATGCATACTTACGAAGGTAAGAACTAGCGAGCTCCAGTGTGTGGAGGAAATTTGCTATAGGAACTATCTTCAATGATACAATCAAATCAAATTTATGGTTGAGGCCGAGTATCCAAGTTGTACCAAAAATAATTGCAACTCATCATTGTATTTTTTTCCTATACTCTTTACCAGGTATTATGTTTATTTCGAATCCCTCAATGTTATGAATATTGGAACCTTTCAGGCTTGTTTGATTGAAGGGTGAAATCCGTGCATTTGGGAAAGAGTGCAGCCTTTGGCAATGATCAGAGCATTGTGGATAGTTTCAAACACTATATTCATGCAATGCAAAGAAATATTGAACAGTGCTGCCACCTTTTGTGTCAATCTACACGTGCTACATGCATTGGTGTTGAAAAGAGTTTTATCATATTTATTTGTGTATGGATTTGTCAGCTTGATTACGCACACACACGCAATAGACTTATAGTATAGTCACTTATCCCTTCTTCTCCTCGTTTCTGCAGATGACGACGTTACCGACTTTGAAATGAACAATGATGATGATGACAATCGTGGTACAGTGGCCACTGCCCCGACGGATCCTAGGATCCCGACAACACCTGTCGCAGCGCAAGCCCCAACACCAGTCTCAACAACAACACCAAAACAACCAATAGTATCTGGCTGCGCCTCAAAGGCTCCATTGAAGAAACGACGCAAGCGCCCGCCCACACAAAGTTCACAAATTCAAGAGTTCCTGAAAAACCATGAAGTAAAAGAAAGCCGCCGGGAGAAGGATAGAAAGAAGCGGGACAAGAAGAAGATGCGTATTATGGAGGGATTTCTTGCCATGATCCAGAATGCGTTGGGTGGCAAGAGAAAGAGGAAGAAGAAACGAGGACAGCGCCAGCATGAGTCAGAAAGCAGCAGTGACAGTAGCAGCGACAGCAGCAGTGACACCACACACGCCAGTAGCCACTACAGTGAGCAATCTGATGCTGAAGATGACTTATCAGTTTCTATCTTTGGGTCATCCTAATAAAGTTATTATTATTATTATTATTATTCTGTAATGCTTTAAAATTGAATCTGTTTTTTTGCTCTGAACTACAGAGTAGGAGTAGGGGCATGTTCGATTGGTAAGGATCGGGATCCAGATCTCAGATCCGTCGGATCCTGCAGAGTCAACTGGACACTTTTTGGGGCCTTGACTGTTGCCATGTTGACGAAAGTAATAAAAAGTCGTACTCACCGCGCCAGTTGTACAAAAAGTCAGCAAGCTCTATCTCGATCCACGTGTGCGTACCACAATGTGTACAAAAACGATTTTTACCCGCCATATACGCACAAAGGTCACATTTGGATCCGGTCAACCCTGCTCCCCGAGGTGGGTTGACCGGATCCAAATCCGAAGGATCCGGATCCAGATTCGACCAATCGAAAGGGTGCGAATCCAGTGGATCCGGTGGATCGGGATCCCGATCCTACCAATCGAACATGCCCTAAGGCTATGATCGTTTGGTCGGATCCAGATCTAGATCCAAATCTCAGATCCGTCGGATCCTTCAGAATCAACCGAACACTTTTTTGCGGACCTTGGCTGTTGCCATGTTGACGAAGTAAAAAATGGCGCTGACAGGTCACCCAAAAAAGGCACAAGTCGTACTGATCGCCCGCGTCGTACGAAAAGTCAACAAAAGTCCACTGGACGTGCGACAATGAGTATAAAAATGATTTTTACCCACCATATAGGCACAACGGTCACATTTGGATCCGATGGATCCAGTCAACCCTGCTCCTGGAGCAGGGTTGCTCGGATCCAAATCCGAAGGATCTGGATCCGGATTCGACCAATCGATCATTGCAGATCCAGTGGATCCGATGGATCTGGATCTGGATCCGACCAAACGATCACGGCCTAAGGCTATGATCGTTTGGTCGGATCCAGATCCAGATCCAAATCTCAGATCCGTCGGATCCTTCAGAATCAACCAAACACTTTTTTGCGGACCTTGGCTGTTGCCATGTTGACGAAGTAAAAAATGGCGCTGACAGGTCACCCAAAAAAGGTACAAGTCATACTGATCGCCCGCGTCGTACGAAAAGTCAACAAAAGTCCACTAGACGTACGACAATGAGTATAAAAATGATTTTTACCCACCATATACGCACAAAGGTCACATTTGGATCCGATGGATCCAGTCAACCCTGCTCCCGGGGCAGGGTTGCTCGGATCCAAATCCGAAGGATCTGGATCCGGATTCGACCAATCGATCATTGCAGATCCAGTGGATCCGATGGATCTGGATCTGGATCCGACCAAACGATCACGGCCTAAGTGACTTGATAATTTTAACTTTTACTTGGGTTATTCTTTCACTGTGCAAGCGCTACACAAGTCACAAATTATGGCAGTTGTGCCTCCAATTGGCTCCCATGTAACGCCCAATCGGGACTGTGTTCTGCTTTATACATTACTTGTGCCGAAATAGAAGCCAAGAATGCCCTGAACGTTCCCATCTGGCTCCCAGTTGAGCCTCTATTGGGGCAAAATACGGACAACTCACAAATTATGCCAATTATGGCAGCTGGGGCTCGAATTCGGGCTCCCATGTAACGCCCGATCTGGCCCTAATCTGCTTTATAGATTACATCTGCTGAAATAGTCAACCATGCCAAGAAAGACCTCACCTGGCTCCAAGATGAGCCCCGATTGTGGCCAAATTGGGACTCCGTTCTGCTTTATGAATTACTTGTGCTGAAGGAGTAGCCAAGCATGCGCGGGAAGTCACCATCTGGGTCCCAGACTAGGCCCGGTTGGGGTCAAATAGGAACCATTTTATGCTTTATACATTACTTGGGACGAAAGTGTAGCCAAGCATGCCAGAAGGTCCCCATATGGCTCCCAGATGAGGCTCGATTGGGGCCAAATTGGGAGCATCGTCTGCCACCACCCTTCAAGGATCAAGGCGCAGATGCAGCTCCTAATGCGGTAGGAATGAAGAAAGGGAAATATAATGATGAATATAATAGGAAGAAGAAACAATTCTCTGTGGCAAACAACCATGCACACGCGCGCACACTCACATACACACACACACACACACACACACAGGAACATGCTTCTTGACGTAGGGCTTCGGAAAAGCAACCATCACTTGGCACCGCATAAGAAAAGAGAAACACAAAGCCAGGTTGGTGAGAATTATGCTGCAAGAGCGAAAAAGGCACCAAAGCATTGGAGTAGGTCCGACGATTGAGACGAACATCACGTATTATGACTCCTGTGACAAGAAACACGCACGCGCGCACACACACACGCGCACACACACACACACACACACACACACACACACACACACACACAGGAACATGCTTGTTGACATAAGAGTTCGGAGAAGCAACCAGGAAACTACAATAAAATACGCGTAGATGCATGACAAGCACGACATGAAGACCTAGCGCCGGATTACATTGCACACCTGGCCAAACAGCACCACACATGACTTACCAATGGTCATGATGAGAGGTAGGTGACGAGCTGTTGACGTCGCTGCTGAGAAGCCTGTTCTGCAGCAAACACAGGTGCATCAAGGGGAGCAGGGTTGTTGGCTGCCCCAGCGTTCTCGCATGGTGCTTGGAGAAATGCCACATCGTCAATGTCATGGAGTCGGCGAAAGTTGTGCAGCACAGATGCTGCCACAATGATCTGCGGGTAGTACTCCGTACAGTCGAGGTCGATCATCTGTAGCTTCCTCCAACGGCACTTCAACAGGCGAAAGGCTCGCTCGATAACCTTCCTTGTGTCAGCGTGGGCATGGTTGTACACACCTTGCTGCCAGGTAAATGCATGACCACCTTGTTGTTTGAAAGGAACCATCAGCCAGGTCTCCAACGGATAGGCAGAATCGCCAATGATATATGTTTCGGAGGCAAATAGCAAAGCTTGGTGCGCTCCAGCTTCAAGGCCCAGCTCCGAATTTCGCAGGACACGAGCATCGTGTACTGACCCAGGGTATCCGGCAAAGCAGTTTGTGAATACCATCTCACTGTCACAAACTGCTTGAACAACTATACTGTAGTAGGACAGACGATTTCCATAGCTGTCCATGTCGTCGCTTGGGGGCTTCACTTCCATATGAGATCCGTCGATAGATCCGATGACCCCGGGCAGTTTTGCAATCGCTTCAAAACCTTCCGAAACTGTCTTCACTCGTGCCCCTGTTGGCCATTTTATGAACTTTGGTGCAAGATAATTCACCAAGATGGTGCACACTCGACGAATGACGGTCCACACAGTCCATTTGGAGACACCAAATCGGTCCGCAACATCACGAATGCAGCATTGGTTTCCCAAAATCCATAGCGTAATGAGCAGGTGCTTCGTTGGAGTTGTAGGCACACGACCGCCAGCAATATGCGTGAGAGGCAGAATACCGTTGCTGTTTGCACAGATTTCTGTCAGGAGGAGTTCGAACGGGCCGCGTCTCATGCGGAAATGCTCGTGAAAGTCCTTATCATTGAATAATGTCACTGTTAATTCCGTATAGTTCGCGATGCGTGGAACGGAGTCCCTTTTCTCCCTCAGCCCAAGAATGACGAGGAGCAGCGGTACAAGAAAATCCTCCTCGGCCTCATCATCATCGTCATCATCGTCCCAAAGAAACTCGAAAACAATGATCGGAAGAACGGCCAAAAGTAGTTCTTGGTCGTGTACATCCATGACCGGCAAGCTCTTGTCTTCAACAAAAAAAACAGCAGTGATTGCTTTGATTTTTGTTTGGTGCACACGCGTGTACATGGTGGGTCACGTTCACTATGGAAACCTGGTGAGGTTTTGGACGTGCTGTGTTTGCCGCCATCCCCCGCTTTTTACCAGGCCTTTTTGAGTTATTTTATCGATCGCAGAAAAATGATTCCGCACGGGACACGTTTGTTTGGTCAAGCGATTCCTACAACTACTGTAGTTGATTCCGGCGCGTTTGTTTGGTCAGGTGATTCTCACACATTCCCATTCCAGAATGGTTGTCATTCCCATTCTCAAAATGACCAACCAAACGTAACGTCAGTATACCGTATGCCTGAGGATTCAGAAGCCCGCTTTACGGAAGTGTGATATTTTCTTGTTCTTTGTTCTATTCTGGAGACTGCAGTGGCAGAGAAGCCGGAGATCACGGTCAAATACGAGTCGAGTCGCACTGCGGTGAGTGTGGATTGTGGCTATGTTTGCCAATACGGGTTGATTATTAGTAGTGGTGCAGGCCTGTCTGTACTTCAGTTGTGGCCAGTGAAGTCTGATCCCAGCATTGGGGAGCAGCACAGTGAAACAGGCCAAAACAAGTGTGCATTGGTTCTATGAGCGCGTAGCATTGGACATTCTCCTCTATGCTGTCAGGTTACGTTTCTTTGTATGAGAGTATAATAGAGGCTACAACGTACATGTATCCTTGTCCAATGACTGTGTTTCTACAGAAATCACTAGCATCAGAAGATGGCGGCGCAACTCGCACTCTTGAACTGGACACCGAGAAAGACAAGGACTCAAGGGCCATATTTGAACGATCACAGGCACTCAGCAAGGTAAGTCACTGCTGGGTATCTTTAGTACACTTGCACGTGTGTGAGTGTGTGAGTGTGGGTGGGTGGGTGGGTGTGTAACATTATAAGAGGGGGGGGGGGGGGTATTCCATGTGCAGAGGAGCTCATGCCTCCGAACCTGTTTGTGCATCAAATCATCAGCTTGACGTCTACATCCAGCACAAGGTGTGGAGTTTGACACGTCTCCTGTGCTGCATTGCTGCCAGTTCACACCTTGGGGAGGTGCGAACAGAATGGCGACTGTAGGTGATGGCGTTTGCTGCTCTTTCAGTTTACTTCACTTCTGCAACTGCTTCCACTGCCTGCTGGCTTTCTTCGTATGGAAAGCTAAGTTTACATGATGTCTTCTCCCTCTTGAAGCTTTTCTAACATGTCTTCTCTTTGCTACCACGGTGTGTTGTGCAGGAGCTGGAGGGCAAGGCTGACGACAAGATCTACCGTGGCCAGAACAACTACACGCAGTTCATCAAGGCCAAGGATACGGCGGCTGGCAATGCAGCCAGTGGAATGAATCGGTATGCCTAAGCTAAAGATTCTCTTTGAGTTAGATATCCTACTGCTGTGGTGTGTGTTAAATACATGTAACAAGTAATGTGTTTGAAGGCTCTTTTAGTTCAAGAGAACCAGCATGACCTTTTCCATGGTTCCATGTTGCCTGGATGAATGATGGTCAGATAATTGTTCTATTTTGCGTGCCCTCATGGTATAGCCCTACGCAACTAGCAACTACTTTTCCTGTGCTTTGTTTTTGTTTTGATCCACCATAAGTCTTCCAATGTCTTCCCTCACTCTTGTTCTGATGTTTGTGATGTCCATGCAGTAAGGGCCCTATGCGAGCACCAGCTAACATCCGTGTGACAACCAGATGGGACTATCAGCCTGATCTCTGCAAGGACTACAAAGAGACAGGATTCTGTGGCTTTGGAGGTATGTGTGTTGCTCCCAGTGCGTGTATGGTGGCGGGTCTCTGCCTCTGTCTCTCTCTCTGTCTCTGCCAATGCCTCTCCTCTCTCTTCTCTCTCTCTCTCTCTCTCTCTCTCTCTCTCTCTCTCTCTCTCTCTCTCTCTCTCTCTCCCCTCTCTCCTCTCTCTGTCCCCTACCACTCAGTGTTAGATCTTGATGTATATTCTTTGACTGTCCAGTGTCTCTCCTCATATTCCTGTTCTGCAGACAGCTGCAAGTTCCTCCATGATCGCACGGACTACAAGTATGGTTGGCAGATAGACCAAGAAGTGGACAAGGGAGAGTTTGGCAAAAACGGTATGTGCGCAGTGATACAACAGTTGCTCCTTTGAATTTGTCTGCACCTCCAGCATTCCTATTATTCTACCCAGTACCTGCAGATTGGAGTTCTTATCTTTTCAGTTCTTTACAACAACTCACTCCTGGAGTCCCATCTCTAAATCTTCTTTCTTGTTCTGCTTCTGTTCTTATCAGACCCAACTAAGTATGAGCTGGAGCAAAGTGATGCTGAAGATGACGACGAGTTCCCGTTTGCTTGCTTCGTCTGCCGCGATCCGTTCAAAGATCCTATCATCACAAAGTGAGTGGCATCGTTACGTTAGCAATATCATGTATGTGTGTGTGTGTGTGTGTGTTCACGGTGTGTATGCGTACGTGTATGCACATGTGTGGCATGCTGAGAGATTTGGAAGCGGCCTAACAATTTGTGAGACCTGAGTTCATCAGCCGCGCCATTGGGCACAAAACAATAAGTGGTCTTTGCAAGGCAGGTATAGATTCAGTGTGGTTTTGTGCTCATTTGCACCATTCTGTAAAGGCAAGTACTACTGTACTATAATAGTTGCTCCTGCAGTCCATTCATCGGAAACAGTTCCGCTAGCTTTTGAAGTCGGATTTGGGCCGAATTGACGATCAAAAATCCACTTTAAATCTCAAAAATATGGGTTTGGGATCTGCTTCTCCATACATTTTGCCATGGCATACCTGTCCTAAATTTTGTAAAACCGGGCTGAATTTGTATTTCCCTGTTCTTGGACTTTTCTGGCCTCAAATGTGGCAAGGAGTAATTGCTTGGGTCACACAATGCAGGAAGGAGGATGTACTGTTGTTTTCACGATATCTACAACTATGTGTGGGAGACACCAAAAAAAGTTGCGGTGCCAGTTTCCAATGAATGGACTGTAGTAGTTACTTCTCGTATGCGAAACATTTATTGCTTGTACTGGCACTTGCCTAATTGGACAAGACATCTGTCTGTGATCCCTGTGTTACCGTGCAGATGTGGGCACTACTTCTGTGAGAGATGCATGCTGGATCATCATAAGAAGGTCGGATCACGCTGTCCTATTTGCCAGAGTGCTACACAAGGCATCTACAACCCTGCTAAAGGTTAGTCGTAGTTGTGTTGGGGGTTAGTTACTAGTATATTCCACCAGACCTTAGCAGCGGAGGGCTGTATACCCTAAGCTTCAAACCTAGTACTTCAATATTGTGCATTCTACTATATCTTAGCTTCACTCTCCTGGCTTTCTGAACAGTGTACTTTCTCCCTCCGATGTGTGTTCATTGGGCATATAGTACTGTAAGCTGCCCAAAACTGAGTCGCTAAAGGTTAGTGATTTCAGAATGTGAACTTCACGATGGCAAATGTTCTAGGAGCACTGTGGCTAAACTATTAAAGTAGTTTTGCTTCGCTTTGGTTAATAGCTGTGTTGTGTGTAACAGACAATACATCGGGACAGCTGTGTTCCGTGTAGCAGACAATACATCGGGACCTTTAGGCAGTTTTCTGTACACCATTTTCGTTACTTCAAGAGGTACCGTGTTTTCCGGAGTGTAGGCCACACTTTGAACACCCGAAAGACAAAAAAATCTGGGTGCAGCTACAAAAGTAGCTTTGTGGCAATGTATTGTCTGTGTCATTATATTTTACTGTGCTGCTCAGAGCTAATCAAGCATATAAAGAAGCGGCAGGCAGAGGCCAAGGAAGCAGGTGAACAAGAAGACGACAACCCAGCCGCCGCCGACGGTGACGACGATGATAAAGACAGTGATAGTGATGCCGAGCCATCCAACGATTAGAAAACACTCCAGTATCCCATGACAAGAACTTTTTGTACATTCTGTACAATGTGTACATATACCATCATACATACAGGCAGCTGGAACATTGATGTACATACCATCATACATACAGGCAGCTGGAACATTGATGTACAGAGACTTATATCGCTTTTGTTTTGTGACTTTTGCCAGCTTTCTGATTGGATGTCACAGAATGTAAATAAGAATTTATGTGGCTGTACAAAAAGATACTCAAGAAAATCAGCACTAGAAAATAAAACTCCTTGTATTAAAAATTCATGAAATCATATTCTCGTTTCATTCGTAATGTTATCGAAAGTTGACTCTTCCGAGGGTCCCATTTAGCCTTTCCATTCTTGCTGTCAACCGGATGAGGGAGTGGCAGGCCCAGCTTCCTATATGCACAATAAAAAGAGATTTTGCCAAAAAAATTCATGGCATTTGATTGATTGCTCATGGCCAATACCTGGCTCCTGTGTAGCAGCTTCCTTGTGTGAGAAATCCAATCAAGCATGCTTTTTGTCGGGCATGATGGCTGAGATATTGCCCGTAGATGCAGCCAGGGTCTATGGCCCTCAAGCTGCGTCCTCGGGCAAGATTCAGCTGGCATGACCTCCATATCGTGGATGAATACTCTAGCAACTGTGATATATTATAAGGGGGTGAGGGGAGACCATGAACCGCATCCAATGCTGACGCCAGTACTACAAGCATTGAGAGAAGTGGCTGGTCGGGAACTGTGTGATGCTAGCTACGCCACTGCCCTCACACCACAGAGAGTGTAGCCACGGAATGACACTGAGAAATACGCAGTATTCGTAGACTGGGTCAATTGGGACTACATGTACAAGAGTACAAGCACACTGCCCCAACAAGTCGTGTAAGGCTATTTATATACACGACTTTACGGTAGTAGGCAACAACAAAAATAGAGAGTCGAGTCAGCTGGGCTTTGCTTTGTCAGGACTTATAGCATGCAGTGAGTAGCACATCACTCACAGTAACACCGACTACATGCAGTGCCAATCCCCAGACCCATACAGCAATCATGTCTGACACCACGGTGTACATGTAGTGATGTACTCACAGTCTGGGTGTCTCGAAGTCCAGGAATGTATCCGACACGTCCAATTGCATGTCGGAGCGTTTCGTGTGCGGAACATCAATGATGACCTGCAACAGAGGTCAGGAGGATCAAGATTGCCGGTGTTAATGTAATTATGACCTCATCACACGACTCGTCGCATGACCGTCAGTCACGGCTGTTCACGTGCAGGCACTTATCAATATGGCGTCGTTCGGTGCGATTTATGTAACATTGTGCGAATAGTACAAATACGCGATGAGTTTGCGTTTTTGCAAGAAACTCATGTCGATCCTCGCGTGGTTCCACGATTTGGGACGCGAAACCAAGAGAAAAGTTTCGAAAGGGCTTGAGCGAGATACTCGACTTTTCGGCAATTAATATTTGAGAGAGAAAGAGGGTGGAAAGGCGTCCTGGCCTGCCCAGTTAGCTGTCTTTCCGCTTCAAACTTGCTCGAAGTACTCCTGGCAGTCTGGAGATTGATCTCGCCAGTGATTGTCAGCCTCTGCTTGGCGTGCTCGCGTGTACAACATTCAAGTTAGACATTTCGTAATCGTTCAACGCACAAAAGGGTAGATATCACAATTTCAAGCTCACTTGACCGGCTGCTGTCTTCTTCTATAATATCCCACATGCCGACTAAGCAATTTACAGCAGGAAGCAGCCTTCTACACTTAACAGCAACTAAAGGGCCACACCATTTTGTCTTCCAAATCAAGAGAAAACAGGCTCCTGACTCGTCGCGCGTATTTAGAAGTTCACGCGCGTATTCTAATGACACTTGGGGAAGACAACCGGAGGATAGTCCTCTACCTGGGAAGAAATCGATCTAAGCTGGGAAAAAATCGGGAAGGGCTTCTCGGAGCCAAGTTTGTCAGCGACGACACAAGGAGTCTTCCAGAACGAAGCCAAAGTCGCACGACACAGAACAAATGTTTCTTGAAGGAAAGGCAGTCATGTGAGGTACGAGCGGAAAGCTTGAAACAAGACGCAGATGATCAGCGTGTTCCCCGGGCTGACCGGGCTGACTAGTCTCCAATATCCAGGGGAAACCATGGCCTACTCGTGTTCTGACGATTTGAAAATTCAAATTTTCTTGCCATTGAAGCCCAATCGAGACTTTCGGCGGCCATATTGTTAAGTGGCGTGAATCGCACAAAAAAACAGCCGTGCAGTGTCTGTATAATGGAACAGACATAATGTTATGTGTACCGGTGGAATAGGGCAAAAAAATAAGCTTCCCACACCGGGAATCGAACCCGGGCCGCGGCGGTGAGAGCGCCGAATCCTAACCACTAGACCATATGGGAGAGGCAAGTGTTCTGTGTGCAATGCGTATCCTGTCCCCGGGGAAAATTGCGATTCCGCGGCCGCGTTTTTTTCCGCGTTTTTTGCGATTTTTTAAAAGACCGCGTTTTCCGCGATTTTCCCGCGTTTTTTGAACTTTTTTGTTGCACTACACGTACACACAGTGCACTTTTCGGTCAGCAACGTCTCATCGTGGCGGCTTTTTACTCAAATAATGGGTGCTTTATACACCAGAGACTTGTAACTGATTGATTTCACTACATACTCACTGAAAATTGCCGCATTCACCGCATATTTACCGCATATTTACCGCAAATTATGCCATATTATGCCGCGTTTTTCCCCGCGTTTTTTGCGATTTTTTTCCGCAATTTTCCCCGGGGACAGCGTATCACATCAGTCACAGTGTACCAGTAGATACTATGACCAGGTTCTAGCCAAGGGAGGGGGGGGGGGCAGTGAAAAAGTGGTGCCCCCTTCTCAGTTGTCAATTATTTTGTGTATTTTTTCAGGCCATTCAACGAAAATGCAGTCGATACTCACTAGCAGAGGGTTCAGAAGGCGTCTGGGGTAAAGTCGTTGAATTTTGGGCGGCAAGACAATTTTGCAAAATGGAATAATGTGTTACGGGTTAGCTGTTTCCCCTGCCCCCCCCCCCCCCCCCTGCTAGTGTTTCCTGGCTAGAACCCTGTAAGACGTACCACCATGTCTTCACAAGATGCAGTAGACGGTGTGCGGTTGTTCAGTCCCAAGAAAACATCCTCTGAGCCAATACTCTGCTTGTAGATGACTTGATAACTGCCAGCGACACATACATACGCACACAAACACAAATTCTTACTCTCCTCTATTGTCGCCATGGCTGGATATCGTCACCATCACCTTTTCATTGGCTAGTGCCGCGCAGTGAGGACAAGAAGAGAAGTACCTAAGTGGAACCCTGATAAGACCCCCCCCCTCCCCCATGGGGAACAGGAAAGTCTACCTACCTAGTATCCGAGGAACTTCTTATCCCAATATACATGTACTTCAGTATAGACCAATACACGTCACCCATACTCCAGACAATGTCCGTACTAAGCAAGAGTATATCTTATCAGAGTACACTGTACATACTATTAAAGTGAGTTCCACTGTACATGCAGGATAGCTTGACTGATAAGTTAATTAGCACTGAACACCCAAAAAAAACTTGAAACACTTTGAAAACCCACCCGCCATGACGACTATCAGCCTACACAAGTGACGAGTCGGAAAAATATAACCACCTTACTGTACGCGTGCACACACAGGTTCATGCTTCATTTTGTGAACAGGAACCGCAGTGCATCGCGAAAAAGTTGACTTGAGCTCAACTATTGCTACTTGTTTGCCCTATCACGCGATGTTTCCCTGCATGCGGAATGAAGTGTGAATCAGGCTTTATACTTCAAAAAGTACACAACAGTGACTCACTCAGGTGTTGGTCTGGGATCATCCTCCAGCACAGTTCTTTCCAGTGGCAGTATTTCATGGTCAGACCAGATGGCCTTGGAGTTGCCCAGTGCCGGCTTTGATGGTCCACTTGATGTAGCGGCACTTTGCCGAGATGATGATCTGGTTACGCGCACAGAGAGTTGTGTAAAAAAAAGAGTACTCACGAGTCACGCTATACTTGGGCCATCATTTTCGGTATAGACTGTGTCAGTTGTTCATGCAATGTACTAGTAGATGGGCATGGTGTTGGTGCCACCGGGGAGCAAGCCAGTGCAGACCGTAAAACCCATAATTATTGCGAAATGCATAGCATCTCCAGCTAGGCGCCCATATGCAATGTAGATACACCACACACTAAAGCTTGACTAAACACATTAGGTCTGTCTGCGTGTTCTCTTTGGCCACACGTGATGTCAGATGTCAGGGTGAAAATTCCAACAGGATGTTCTCAACACAAGCGCTTGTACATGGCCGCACATGCAAATTTTAACGCAAGCCTGTTCAGAGGATCGAGAAAGGCTCACACATGAACCGTGGAGAAGGAAGGGAGCATAATTATTCTTGTTACCGAAGTCACCAACATGACTATATTATCATACAGAAACAAATGCTGGAGAAAAAAGAATCTGATCCTGCTTACTTTACCACGTTGTACTGTAAAAAACACACACACACACGCGCGCGCACTCATGCGGGTGCGCACACACACACACACACACACACACACACACTCACCTTGCTGCTGCTGCTGCTGGAGGTCCCACTGTACCAGGTGTCATGGCAGGTATCGACGGCTGTACAAAGAGAGAAGACAGACCATGCAGCTTCCCCGGATTGTCAATGTGTTACCGAAACTCAGTAATGGACGTCTATCACTCCCCGACATGCATTATACACTATGACTCAATCCTGAGGCCAATGTAGCAGTGATGTCTGCTGTCGAGTCATTCCTTAGCGCCTGACAGACATCAGTGCACCATTTCGCACAAAACTGACACTGGGAGTGAGACATTCCAAGGGGGTATAATTGTGAGACATTCCAAGGGGGTATAATTGTGAGACATTCCAAGGGGGTATAATGATTTGTGGACTCCAATGCATAACTTGCACCCCAATGTTTCCTTTTTGTCTTCTCTAAATGTGTCAGTGGCACTGGCTCACCATTTGAGTTCATACCAGGTAGTGGTACAATATCGGTATTTTACGACTCCCTGGTTCACACTTCATGCACGTACAGAAAAGTGCCCACACCCCACGGGCGCAGGGCTGTCTCCATGGCGTTCAGATGAGGAGTATGTTTGGATAGGGTAGCGGTCGCACATCCATCTAAAACATGCCTATTCCCTTGTATGTTCCATCCTGTCTCATTCTCTTTGTCAGTACCACAGGAACTAGACACACTGCAGCTCTTCCATAATTATGACACTTTTGGTGATTTATTGTGACCCCACCCAGTTGCGATACATCTTGTGTACTGGTTCAACGGTGCTCCGGGAAGGAAAACTCAACAAAAACTCATTTTCGAAACTTCAATCCAATGCAACAGGCATTTCGGATAATTGATCGTTCGGAAAGTTGTAATCGGCATTCTACTGTATTATTAGATATCTGTTCCGGACTGTGACCCTGTCTCAGCTATACGTTGCATGATTGTACATGTACATGAATAGCGGCAACTCCGGCAGTAAACATCCTTAGCTAAAAAAACGCCAACGTAAACGCAAACCGTTCCGTACTTCGGATCGTTCAAGCTGACTTTTCCCTTAGCACAAAGTACGTTATAGTTGAGACGAAGTAGTCGTGACAACCATGGCGATATGAATTTTCGTGGAAACAGATGCGGGAAATTCAAAATTTTGAACCAGGGATTAGTTTGCTGTCGTTCCGAAAGAATACCTTGGCGAGGTCTTTTACTCTGGAATAGCAAAAGCACGGCGAAAATGAGTTTTCGCTGTTTCCAGGTCCTTGGAAAACCTTTCCTAAACGCAGCACCGAAGACTGTAAGGGTTCTCCAGGTGTTGCTATACCGTGTAGACTATAACTAACCTTGTCATCCAGGTCAATGTCCTCGTCATCTTCTTTTGTAGCTGGATTGAGTAAGTTACTCAACGCCTGAAGGTCGCTGCCACCAAGCACCTGACTGCTATCCATCATGCAACACTCCTGCTGCTGCTGGTGCTCAGCGTGCTGCTGCTGGTGGTGCTGCTGCTAGTGCAGAGGAGCACTACAAATGAACTCTTCCCCGGCTGGCCTCTCTCCGGGTAGCAACTGTGAAAGAGGACGCCTCTCAAGCTAGGCTATTCCCGACTGATATTACAGTACACTGACCGGCTCTATTGTAAATAACCAACCAACTCGGTATTCCGCAGCCAGTGTGACTGTGACGGCTTCCTCGAATGAATGGTTCTATCAAGAACTTCTCAGAGCTGTAAAATCATGCGAGAGCGCAACTAGTAATTACTTGGAGAGTCAGTTCGTCGCTTACAGTTCAGTTGGTTGGTGCGAAGCAAAGTTACAAGGATGATGATCGCCGTTCAAAAATTAGAAGTGGATAGAATTATGATAATATATTACCTGGCGATACATGAATATTAAAATTAGTACGGGTACATGGTAGATCCACATTATCAACACGGATAGCAGTCACATAAATAAAAATTATCAGTGCTGATGCACACATGTGCACAGTCAAGACTTCGGGCTTGATCATGTCGATGTGGGTAACAAAAAGAAAGAGCGTTTCCACGGTGCTC